CTCTCCCAACCTCTCTCCTTTACTTTCTCTCTAACCTCTCTCGCTCCCCCGCTCCTCTTATTTCCTCTCTCTTTTCACGCTCTCCGCTCTCCCTCTCTCCCGTTCCCCCCTCTCTTTTTCCTCTCCCCCCCCACCTCTCTTTTCCACCCCCCCCCCTCTCTTTCTCTCCTATCCCCTTTCTCTGGCAATTCATTCAGTTGGCTCTCTCCCTCCTTGGCCGAACATCGCAGAAGCTCCATCTCTCTTTTGCTCTCTCTCTCCCTGTGTATCTGGCATGGAAGCTGTGTGTGTGTGTGCATGTGTGTGGGTGTCTTTGTAACAGTTCGAGGGGTTGTGGGACTGAACGGAGACATCAGAGTTCAATTCCCGTCCACGGTCAACATCTCGCGAAGGGCGATTCTGGAACCGCTTCTGAGATCCCCGGTCAAGCTCGCCACCTTCACCAAACCCGCATTGACCAGCGTGGTGAAGTATGGTCAACCAACCTCCCATGACCCGCACGGCGCGTAGGGAGGCCCTCATCCAGCAGTGGACTGGTAAAGGACTTTGAGTTTGTATATGGGAGAGGGTACGTTCTGTGTGTGGGAGCGGTGGCGTAGTGGTTAGCGCACTCCGCTACGAAGCTGGCGACCCGAGTTCGATTCCCCGCCGTATCGTGGCAATTATATTAACCGGTTGTGGGTCTTCCATAGATCGACTCGGCGTTAATTGTGGACCTGCTAATGGCTACACGGGGGAGTGTCTGTATATTTTGAGTGTATGTGCTGTGGATGTGGTTCCGTTTTGGCCTTCAGAGGTGCTCGCTCACAACACTTGCCCCAGCCGTCTGTGCGGTATATAGGGGCAGCTTTGTCTGTATCTCTATATGTACGCGTGTTGAATAATCAGGAACAGCAATGTCACTGCTGTTGATAGAACGAGCGTCTGATTCACTCTCTTTGAACGACACAATGATGATGATACAGTCTGTATCATCATCACCATCAATATATTTAGCCATGATCAATCCACTGCTGGATGAAGGCCTTCCCAATCAGTCAACTCCTTCCATAACTCCCGCATTCTTACACTGGCGCTCGTTATGATGATGATTATTTTTATTTTATTAGAGATGGGGAAGAGGAGCTGCCAGATGTGTGGTGCGAAGCCTCGAGCTCTCTGCGCTCACCCAAGGAGACAGTTCACGCACAGCTGGGAGACATTAGCCGGGAGGGTGGGGGTGGGGTGCAGACCCTCCCCCACGCCTCCCACCCTACCCCCTCCTCTCAACATCATTCTCTTATCCCAAGAGCCGTCTGGGTATTAGAGGAATCCTGGAGGCAGAGACACGAGGAGAGACGGACAGACAGAGGGGGAAAGAGATACGAGGACAGGAAAAGACGGTGTGAGACGGGGGGGAGGTGAGATTTGAGACACGGATGGATAGCAAGAGAGAGAGAGAGAGAGACGCACACAGAGCAGAGTCAGTCGAGTTGGTAACAACGACCCACGGGGAACATCCAAGTTGACACTGCCATCACCACCTCCACCATAAACCACCATCACCTCCACCACCACCACCACCATCTCCACCACCATCATATCCACCATCACCATCTCCACCATGACAATCTCCACCATCACCATCTCCACCATCACCATCTTCACCTTGACAATCTCCACCATCACCATCTCCACCATCACCATCTCCACCATGACAATCTCCACCATCTTCACCTTGACAATCTCCACCATCACCATCTCCACCATCTCCACCATGACAATCTCCACCATCACTATCTCCACCATGACAATCTCCACCATCTTCACCTTGACAATCTCCACCATCACCATCTCCACCATGACAATCTCCACCATCTCCACCATGACAATCTCCACCATCACCATCTCCACCATCACCAAGTGGCAGCACGGACAAAGTTGTAAACGAGGAAGGCCTCACTAACAATCGCCACTGCTATTAAATATTGTACAAACATGTTTGACTTGACCATAAGAATGTTTAAGAGGGGCTAAACCACTACGGGTCTGTAGAGGAGGGAGCGTGGGGGGAGTAGGGGGAGTGTAGGGGAGTGTAGGGGAGGCAATTGTTGTACACAAACACACACACACGGAGCTGCCAGGGGACACGGCCAGACCGCAACAAAGCCGTCAGCAGCGCAGCCGCCCTCAAAGTCGCTAAGCAAAGGCGGGGACGCTCCGCGGGTTTCTAATCAGCAACGTCCGATGGAAGCCCCCCCCCCCTGCCCCCCTCCCCTCCCCCCACTTGGCGACGTTGCTCCTACGACAAGACCACTGAGATGTAACCAGCAGCCGCATGAGAAGAGCACCACCACCACCACCACCAGGCCCGATGCGCACGTGTCCATTGGTGAATAGAAGGTTAAGAGACAGCGAGCCACAGCGAGTGTGGCCATGCAGCCTAAACTATGGACCCACACAGTAAGCCCAGAGACACACACAGAGGAACATGGAGAGACATGGAGATAAGCAGCGACTCACTCAATGAGATATACACAGAGACATCTAGACGTAGAGAGACAGACGTAGAGACGAGACGCATAGAAGACACGTCCCAAGAGTGCGACTGTGGCCATGCAAAGCAAGCTACAGACCGCACAGTAAACCCCCGCACTGTGGTCGGCGCTCCATCAACGCAGGAGGAGGAGCAGCGACACGACACGAACTCTCTCTCTCTGCTGAAGCCCTCTCGTCGTGGCCAGCAGTAGCAGCAAGCAGCCAGGACCTCGACATTGGCGCTGAGCTCCTGAGCCACGCGGCTTGCTGTGTAAGCCACCGCGCGCAAGATCCGTGCACGGGCGCGTGGGGACTATTCGCGGATTTATTTCCTTCTCGCCTCTGATGAGGCACACGAAAGGCTGGGAAGAGGAGCGGGGGGGGGGGGGGGGCGCTCTGAGTTGAAGGCATTCCTCTCGCGAAAAGGAGAGCGAAGTGTAGCCGCCTTTTCCTCGATCCACTGCTGGATGAAGGTTTCCGGAACAACGCCGTTCCGGTCGTCGAGGGGTGGGGTGGGGGGGGGTTATTTGACCATATTTCACCACGCTGGGCAGTGAAGGCGGTGAGCCACATAGACGCGTTGACGTGGAGGTGCAGTACAACTATGACGACAGCGCGCTTTTGTGTATCGCGGTCCGCCCATGCGCGTGCCGGCCAGGCTGGGGTTTAGCCTGCTTAGTTTCGTGAATGTGGCCGAGATCGGAGGCGGAACGTTCGGCTGATGTGACTGGAAGCGAAATGTTGATCACAGCAATCACGCGATTTGGTGACATTACCGCCGCCGCCGCTGCTGCTGAGTTGGCGGCAGTGATGCACAAAGCACAGCCAACACGGCGGAACGCATTCCCCCGTCAACAACAACAGCAGCAGCAGCAAGCAAACGCCGCGTGTGTCGTCTTAAAAAGTGAGAAAAATATATAAAAAATAGGCGACGTTTCGGGCACTGACTCTTGTTCGGAGAAGGGTGAGAGGGAGCATAATGGGACCACTTTTCGAGGGGCAATGGTGTTTTCCGTAGAAGGATCATTGCCCGAAACGTCGCCTATTTTTTTTTACTTTTCAGGACAGAGTGTTATTGACGAACGTGTTGGGTTTTTTTGTTCCACGCGTACACGAATGCGGTCAAGTTGTCGACTTAACAGCCAAGGCAAGAGAGGGCGCATCGGGATCTAAGGGTGGCGCTGTGGGTCGCGTACTCTGCTGTGAATTCGACCTGCTGCTGTACTCAATCCCTAGGAACAGTAAACTAATTTCGATAGACTGTGAATAATAGTATAGGCTTTGTCAATCCACACATACATGCATACTGTATATACATACATGAAGCAATAAACACAAAATTCCCTGTATAGCCTTAACAGGCTGTTGAGGAGGCAAGTGCTGTTAGCGAGCACCTATGAAGACCGAAACGTCACACCATGGTGTGAGTGCCCAGCACCACGCCCGGCCGCCTTTGTCTCCCTAGTGATGATGTTTACGCACCGCACCAGGTGCTCATTTGAGGCTAAGTCGACCTAGGGGAGGCCCAGGACCGGTTCAGATCATCGCATACCTGTCAACCCCTTATCAGTACCCTACCTGATTACAGACGAATTCAGACCTTATTGGTCACCCCGTGCCCCTTATAAATCTCAACGTTCATCCTACAAAGTCCCATCACAAGAGAGAAACACAAACAAATAGACAATGTAAATTACTCGTATTGAAACGGCTGCAAGCCGTATGCACCTGAAAACTCAATTTCCCTCTACACAAATACGGAGTAAACCGTGTGGGTTGCCAGGTATGTAATCGTCACTGGTGTTGGGCGTGAGCGGGAATCGAACTCGGGCCGCCAGGTTCGTAGCGCGTACACATGCACAAACCGACACACACACAGCCACTACACGTAGGAGCACGGACCAACACACCACCACCACCACCACAATAACCACCACAACCACCACCACCACAACAACAACCGCCATTCCTCACTAAGCGGCGGTAACATCACCAACAGTGCGCGTGCCAGGCTAGGTGCACCAGTAGAACCACCAGCACAACCAGTAGCACCACAAGTAGAACCACCAACAGTAGCACCACCAGTAGCACCACCAGCACAACCAGTAGCACCACCAGTAGTAGAACCACCACCAGTAGTAGAACCACCACCAGTAGTAGAACCACCACCAGTAGTAGAACCACCAGTAGAACCACCAGTAGAACCACCAGTAGAACCACCAGCACCACCAGTAGCACCACCAGCACAACCAGTAGAACCACCACCAGTAGTAGAACCACCACCAGTAGTAGAACCACCAGTAGAACCACCAGTAGAACCACCAGTAGAACCACCAGTAGAACCACCAGCACCACCAGTAGAACCATCAGCACCACCAGCAACTCCAACTCGCGCGTGTGGTCTGGTGGAGTCGCTTTTATCAGACTCGCAATCCAGATGCGGCGTGGATGGATGTGTGGATGATGGCCGGATAAGAACTCACTTCACTCGCTCGAGTAAGGAGACTTGGGTTTTTGCAAAGCTGCGTCACGTGTCCCGCGGTCGCCTTTGTCTCTCCCCGACTGCGCCGCTCGTTCTTCCACTCTCCCTCCCGGCTCCTAGTGGGAGCAGAGACGCGTGGCTGCCTCCCCCTCGTCGTCTTCCTCTCTCCTCCGCTGCGCCACCACCACCATCATCATCATCCGCAGAAGCGACCGAAGGAGTAGTCGTGGTTGAGCAACCACAGCAGTAGCGGGAGAAGCAACCACACCGGCACCTCCGATTAGCGCGGTTGGCTACGTACGGTGCGAAAGAAGTTCAACGGACACAGCAGCAGCAGCCGCCGCAAGCAGCGAGCGCAGCCGCAGTGGCGCCGCGAGCATTCCGCTGCCGACGAAGCGACGGGGAAGTGAGCAAGGAGCTGCTGCGGCGGATTCCAGAGAATGTTCATGGACAAATACCTCCCCCTCCTCCTACCCCCTCCTACCCCCGTCTCCTCCTCCCGCTCCTCCTCCTCCATCACCAGCAGCCACCCTCACCCCCTCTCTCCCAACTCTCCCTCCTCCTCTCTCCCAACTCTCCCTCCCCCTCTCTCCCAACTCTCCCTCCTCCTCTCTCCCAACTCTCCCTCCCCCTCACTCCCAACTCTCCCTCCCCCTCTCTCCCAACTCTCTCTCCCCCTTCTCTTCCAACTCTCCCTCCCCCTTCTCTCCCAACTCTCCCTCCCCCTCACTCCCAACTCTCCCTCCTCCTCTCTCCCAACTCTCCCTCCCCCTCACTCCCAACTCTCCCTCCCCCTCTCTCCCAACTCTCTCTCCCCCTTCTCTTCCAACTCTCCCTCCCCTTCTCTCCCAACTCTCTCTCCTCCTCTCTCCCAACTCTCCCTCCTCCTCTCTCCCAACTCTCTCTCCCCCTCACTCCCAACTCTCCCTCCCCCTCTCTCCCAACTCTCCCTCCCCCTCACTCCCAACTCTCCCTCCCTCTCTCACCCAACTCTCCCTCCCCCTCTCTCCCAACTCTTCCTCCCCCTTCTCTTCCAACTCTCCCTACCCCTCACTCCAAACTCTCCCTCCCCCTCTCTCCCAACTCTCCCTCCCCATTCTCTTCCAACTCTCCCTACCCCTCTCTCCCAACTCTCCCTCCCCTCACTCCCAACTCTCCCTACCCCTCACTCCCAACTCTCCCTCCCCTCTCTCCCAACTCTCCCTCCCCCTCACTCCCAACTCTCCCTCCCCCTCACTCCCAACTCTCCCTCCTCTCTCCCAACTCTCCCTCCCCCTCTCCCCCAACTCTCCCTCCTCCTCTCTCCCAACTCTCCCTCCCCCCCAACTCTCCCTCCCCATATCCCAACTCGATATCCCCATCTTCCGTCGCACTCTCTCCTCCCTCTTGCTGTGACGTCACGTGTGTGTGGCGTGTGCGTTGTGTGGCGTGTATGTGTGACGTGGGTGTGCGTGGCGTGTGTGTGGTGTGTGTGTGTGTTGTGTGTGTGATGTGTGTGGTGTGCGTCGCGTGTGTGTGGCGTGTGCGTTGTGTGGCGTGTATGTGTGACGTGGGTGTGCGTGGCGTGTGTGTGGTGTGTGTGTGATGTGTGTGTTGTGTGAGTGATGTGTGTGGTGTGCGTGGCGTGTGTTGGTCTCTGTGTGTGATTATCGGAACCAGTTCTGGGGCCTCCCCTAGATCGACTCAGCCTCAACCGAGTATTGTACCTGGTGCGGAATGTAAACATTGCCACGAGGTGCTCGCTAACAGCACTTGCTCCAAAAGTCTGCTGAGGCTACACGGGGAATCTTTATCTTTGAGTGTGTGCTGTGTGTGCGGTGTGTGTGTTGTGTGTGTGTGGCGTGTGGGTGTGTGGTGATTGTAATGAGTGTGGTGTGTTATAAGGAGCGGTGGTGCATTGGTTAGCGCGCTGTGTTTCGAACCCGGCGATACGAGTTTAATTCCCGCTCACGGCCACCAACGCCAGTGACTTAATAATCTGAACTTTTATCTGGGCCTCCCGCTAGGGACGTTCAGAACGATGCAGCGAGGACAAATATGCGGAGACAAAGAACCAGAAGACACGCCCCTGCAATAGCTTCAGACAGGCTGCGTGGGCAACTGCACTCCGCCACTGTTTGTGTGAGAGCGCCCCCTGGCGTCCGCAACGACGCAGGGCAGGCGGAGAGAAGAGAGGGGGGAGAGCGGGCACCACCGTGTGTGTGAAGCACACATAACTAAAGTATATACTAGCCGACGTTTCGGGCAACGGCACACAGAGGGGCCAGAGAGGTAGGATAGCCTCCGAGTGACGCGATCGGCTACGTAGGGCGCGGAAGAAGTCTCAACACACACGTGTCCACTCTTGCGTGCCGAGGATGGTAATTCCGCGCGGAGGCTTCGTCGGGAGTAGTTCTGTGAACCTCTCTTGTGGGACAAATGGCGAGAGATTCCCAAATGGACTTGGATTTCGGGACAGAAGAGACGAGATCGACGATCTTCATCACGCCGTTTCTAAACGCGCAGACAATAACAGGTCCTGATATTTCATTGCACGCAAACCACAGTATTTACAAGAACAACGTGCGTGCGTCATGTACGTTTTATTACCATATTAATAATCCAACCGGCAATGAATATCCATTGTAATTCATATTCGTTCATTATCCCCCCCCCCCCTCCGCACGTGAAGGGCTCACACGTGACGTCGATTTAAGGAACGAAACGGGAGGATTTCTCCACAACATCTGGCTGTCCGCCTGATGAAGCCGGTTGTAATTACTGCCGACAGGTCGTGCTCAACAACACAACCGGTGATGCTGTATTAGTGACGAATTGGCACGTTCTGTTTACGTGACAAACCTTACTAGATGGCCTTGTCGGGTGGTGGCGGGTTTAACGACACTTTCATATCGACGCGATCGAACCCCAAACAAAAAAAAACCCACAACCTACATTATGGATGATATTGGTCGCGAAAGCTCTACTGCGTGTTCAACTGATTCCACGAACATCCTGAGCCAAATAAGGAAATGAAGGGAGGGTGACGTCACTAAAGGTTCACAACGGCTCGCTGGCGGGTGACGTTGGTGCTTGGGCTTGAGAGGCAGGAGACAAAGCCGGCACCTCGCCGCTGTAGACGACGGGGGGAGACAACCCAGCGCTGCCACCTCCACGGCCACCACCTCGCAGCAGCAGCCTCACGCCTACAACACTTGGCACAAGCCCTGGTGGCGGTTGGTAGTGGCGGTCACCCGTCCGAGCACTGACCAGGCTCATCGCTGCTTAGCTTCACGAGATCTTTGGCGATCGGGATGAGACTGTCAACTCAGTTAAACTCGCGTGGTGGACCCGATTTCGTCGCGGGCAGCTGCATTCCAGACTCGCATCCAGGATCGGAGCTGTGTTGGCTCAGCGCTCTTCTGACCTCAGAGTTCACTCGGCCATCTCAAGCCTTCCGCGGATTTCTAAAGGCGCTCACGGCCAAGATTTCTATCCCGCGGGTGGAGGTGCGTCCGCGATGGAACTAGCCGTGTCTCTCAGCCCGGGGGGGGGGGGGGGGGGGGGTGGGGCGGGATTAGCCTTCTCGAGACGAGATCTCGGCTCTGATTTAGAATCGGGGCTTAATCTCTCATTGGTAAGACTTGGGGTATAGGGTAGAGCGTGCCTCGAGTGAATGTAGCGCACAGCGGAAGGCATTGTGAATGTGGTGTACCGGGTGGGTAAATATACTAACACAATTTATTTTTATTTTACCAAGTGAGGCCCACTGGAGCTAAATAGCTCTCATTCCGAAGCTACCTGGCCACAAATGATAGCTCTACATAGTGCCTTATCATCACGTGGACATTTATAGCAGACAAATGCTCTAAACGCATGTTTCTAAATGTGGAGGGAAAAACCGGAGGACCCGGAGAAAAATCCACGCGACCACGGGGAGAGAGATAGAGAGAGAGACACCGCAAACTCCAAATATACAGCAGCAGGCGTCAGGGTCGGGATCGAACCCATGACCTCCTGCACACCAGGCGAGGGAGTTAACATCTCATCGTCACCGTTACTGCGGGTTGGCGCCCCGGACCAATGCTGGTGGAGCAGCACCCCTTCTACCTTTCAACAATGAAATAATGAACGCATGGGTTAAAGGCGCATCCCTGCAAGTGCTTGCCTGCTCACACTACCACTGGCGGACGGGCCGTCAACTGAAAGGGAGCTCTAGACAGCTCCTCCAGAGGGATATTTATGCCTACTTCTCCCACGCTGGTCAGCACGTGCTCGAAGACGAGGCAGTACCCATACTTTACCCCCCTCCTGCTGGGAGTGCAGAGGCAACTGCCGCATCGGAAGATCGGACAACCGGCGACCTCTGGGTCTCCAAGGCCACTGAGGCCAACCACAGCGCCCTATCCATTACACTACCCGGGGCCGTAATGACGTCATATATTAATAAATTATCGATTATAATATGGACTAAGTAATGAATCCCGCGGTTGTAATCTCAGTAAATCGCCTTTGCGCTTTTAATCCGCACGGGGCAGGGCCACTTCGCGTCGCATCCCCCTCGGAAGGAGCTCCCCAGTCCGGGCAGAGGAGGAGACACGAGGCGGCGCCACGGTCCAATAGCCCGAGACAAGAGATAGAGAGACACACACAGAGACACACACAGAGACACAGACACATAGAGAGAGAGACACACAGAGACACACACAGAGACACAGACACATAGAGAGAGAGACACACATACAGACACACACAGACACACAGAGACACACACAGAGATACACACAGAGACACAGACACATAGAGAGAGAGACACACACAGAGACACACACAGAGACACACACAGAGACACAGACACATAGAGAGAGACACACAGAGACACACACAGAGACACACAGAGACACACACAGACACATAGAGAGAGACACACAGAGACACACACAGAGACACACAGAGACACACACAGAGACACAGACACATAGAGAGAGACACACACAGAGACACACACAGAGACACACACAGAGACACAGACACATAGAGAGAGAGAGACACACACAGAGACACACACAGAGACACACACAGAGACACAGACACATAGAGAGAGACACCCAGAGACACACACAGAGACACACAGAGACACACACACAGACACATAGAGAGAGAGAGACACACAGAGACACACACATAGAGAGAGACACACACAGACACATAGAGAGAGACACACAGAGACACACACATAGAGAGAGACACACACAGACACATAGAGAGAGAGACACACATCGACAGAGACTCGAGAGCGACAGAGACCAACGAGAGAGAGACGCCCACAAAGACACGGTGTAGAGAGAGAGAGACAGAGCAATACAAATAGACAGCGAGAGAGAGGCTGCGTGTCCACATCTGCACATCGCGCCTTCCGCTGTGGATCGCGGATTACCAGAGTGCAGTTGAAATCGCGGATTACAGGTGTGCAGTTGAAATCGTGGACTGAAAGAGTGCAGTTGAAATCGCGGATTACAAGAGTGCAGTTGAAATCGCGTATTACAGGAGTGCAGTTGAAATCGCGGACTAAAAGAGTGCAGTTGAAATCGCGGACTACAGGAGTGCAGTTGAAATCGCGAACTACAGGAGTGCAGTTGAAATCGCGGACTACAGGAGTGCAGTTGAAATCGCGGATTACAGGAGTGCAGTTGAAATCGCGAGCTACAGGAGTGGAGGTGAAATCGCGGACTACAGGAGTGCAGTTGAAATCGCGGATTACAGGAGTGCAGTTGAAATCGCGGACTACAGGAGTGCAGTTTAAATCGCGGACTACAGGAGTGCAGGTGAAATCGCGGACTACAGGAGTGCAGGTGAAATCGCGGACTACAGGAGTGGAGGTGAAATCGCGGACTACAGGAGTGCCGGTGAATCGCGGTCTACAGGAGTGGAGGTGAAATCGCGGACTACAGGAGTGCGGGTGCCTGAGGCGTCGCGGCGATGCCCCTGAAGACGGAGACGCTGAGGAGCGTGTGGGGCAAGGAGACGTGAGTGCCTGGGAGAGCGTGCGGAGAGAGATAGCGCGTGAGAGAGTGTGAGAGAGAGTGTGTGAGAGTGTGTGTGAGAGTGTGTGAGAGAGTATTAGAGTGTGCGAGAGTGTGAGAGAGAGAGTGTGAGAGAGAGTGTGTGAGAGAGAAAGTGTGAGAGAGAGTGTGAGAGTGAGTGTGTGAGAGAGTGTGTGAGAGAGTGTGTGAGAGAGTGTGAGAGAGAGAGAGTGTGAGAGAGTGTGAGAGAGTGTGAGAGAGAGAGTGTGAGAGAGTGTGAGAGTGTGAGAGTGTGAGAGAGTGCGAGAGTGTGAGAGTGTGAGAGCGTGTGAGAGTGAGTGTGAGAGTGTGAGAGTGTGAGAGAGTGTGAGAGTGTGAGAGTGTGAGAGAGTGAGAGTGTGAGAGAGAGTGTGAGAGTGTGAGAGTGTGAGAGAGAGTGCGAGAGAGAGAGTGTGAGAGTGTGAGAGTGTGAGAGAGAGTGCGAGAGAGAGTGTGAGAGAGAGTGTGAGTGAGAGAGTGTGAGAGTGTGAGAGAGAGGGTGAGAGAGTGTGAGAGAGAGTGCGAGAGAGAGAGTGAGAGAGTGAAAGAGAGAGTGTGAGACAGAGAGTGAGAGTGTGAGAGAGAGAGTGTGAGAGAGAGAGTGAGAGAGGGTGAGAGAGTGCCTGAGAGAGTGTGAGAGAGCGTGCGAGAGAGTGCGAGAGTGTGAGAGAGAGAGAGAGTGTGAGAGAGTGTGAGAGAGAGTGCGTGGGTGAAAACGTATGGGAAGTACGTGGGTGAGTGGGTGAGTCTGAGAGAGTGTAGTGAAGAGGGTGTGTGGGTGAATGGTCGAGAGAGTGTGTGAAAGAGTTTGTGGGTAATTGGTGGGAGTGTAAAGAGTATGTTGAACTTCTTTCTCGCCGTACGTATCCAACCGTGCTCATGGGATGTGTGTGTGAGAGACACCGAGCAACACAGACAGTAAATAAACTCTAAACTAGTTTTAATTACCAGGTAAGGCTCACTGAGCTATGCAGCTCTTGATCAGCAGCGAGCTGGCTACTATCACACGCGATAGCTCAACGAAGTGGGATTGTCGTCGTCATCGCTTGGACATTCATCGCAGCAGCCAAATACTCGAAACGCGTGACGTTAGTTTTAGATGTGCAGGGAAACAACACGCGACCCTGCGGAGCGTGGATGGAGCGATCTCACTCATTGATTGATCAGGGACACATCCATCTCGCCACTCATCGACTCTCCCGTCACTCCTCGACTCTCCCGTCACTCCTTGACTCTCCCATCACTCCTCGACTCTCCCGTCACTCCTCAACTCTCCCATCACTCCTCGACTCTCCCACGACCCCTCGACTCTCCCATCACTCCTCGACTCTCCCATCACTTCTCGACTCTCCCATCACTCCTCGACTCTCCCACGATCCCTCGACTCCCCCATCACTCCTCGACTCTCCCATCACTCCTTGACTCTCCCGTCACTCATCGACTCTCCCATCACTCATCGACTCTCCCACGACCCTCGACTCTCCCATCACTCCTCGACTCTCCCACGACTCCTCGACTCTCCCATCACTCCGCGACTCTCCCCACGACCCCTCGACCCTCCCATCACTCCTCGACTCTCCCATCACTCCTCGACTCTCCCGTCACTCCTCGACTCTCCCATCACTCCTCGACTCTCCCACGACTCCTCGACTCTCCCGTCACTCCTCGACTCTCCCATCACTCCTCGACTCTCCCGTCACTCCTCGACTCCCCCGTCACTCCTCGACTCTCTCATCACTCCTCGACTCTCCCATCACTCCTCGACTCCCCCATCACTCCACGACTCTCCCGTCACTCCTCGACTCCCCCCACGACCCCTCGACTCTCCCATCACTCCTCGACTCTCCCATCACTCCTCGACTCTCCCGTCACTCCTCGACTCTCCCATCACTCCTCGACTCTCCCGTCACTCCTCGACTCCCCCGTCACTCCTCGACTCTCTCATCACTCCTCGACTCTCCCATCACTCCTCGACTCCCCCATCACTCCTCGACTCTCCCGTCACTCCTCGACTCTCCCGTCACTACTCGACTCCCCCGTCACTCCTCGACTCCCCCACCATTCCCCGACTCTCCCGTCACTCCTCGACTCTCCCGTCACTCCTCGACTCTCCCGTCACTCATCGACTCTCCCGCCACTTCTCGACTCTCCCCGTCACTCCTCGACTCTCCCGTCACTCCTCGACTCTCCCGTCACTCCTCGACTCTCCCATCATCCCTCGACTCTCCCGTCACTCCTCAACTCTCCCGTCACTCCTCGACTCTCCCGTCACTCCTCGACTCTCCCCGTCACTCCTCGACTCTCCCGTCACTCCTCGACTCTCCCATCATCCCTCGACTCTCCCGTCACTCCTCGACTCTCCCGTCACTCCTCGACTCTCCCACGACTCCTTAACTCCCTCGTCCCTCCTGGACTCTCCCGTCACTCCTCGACTCGCCCCGTCACTCCTCGACTCTCCCGTCACTCCTCGACTCTCCCATCACTCCTCGACTCTCCCGTCAGTCCTCGACTCTCCCATCACTCCTCGACTCTCCCCGTTACTCCTCGACTCTCCCATCATCCCTCGACTCTCCCGTCACTCCTCGACTCCCCCATCACTCCTCGACTCTCGCATCACTCATCGACTCTCCCGTCACTCCTCGACTCCCCCATCACTCCTCGACTTTCCCGTCACTCCTTGACTCTCCCATCACTTCTCGACTCTCCCCGTCACTCCTCGACTCTCCCATCACTCCTCGACTCTCCCGTCACTCATCGACTCTCCCGTCACTCATCGACTCTCCCACGACCCCTCGGCTCTCCCGTCACTCCTCGACTCTCCCACGTCCCCTCGACTCTCCCCGTCACTCCTCGACTCTCACATCACTCCTCGACTCTCCCACGACCTCTCGACTCTCCCGTCACTCCTCGACTCTCCCGTCACTCATCGACTCTCCGTCCCTCGCATCCTCTTCAGAGCCCAGCAAGGATGCGTGACTATAGCTACCTGTAAGGGCGCCAAGGCGATACGAGACGGGGGAGGAGTGTCGCACAGTATCCCCTTAGCTTTGATCCCCTTCGCCCCCCTCCTCCCACTCCTCCCCACCCACACTCCACACCACCACTCACCGTTCCTTCTCCCCTCGTGTCTCCAAATCTTAACCACTGACCCAGACCGCAGTCCGGTACCATCATCATCATCATCATTCTCCCCCCCTCCTCCCTCCCCCCTCCTCCCCCTCCCTCCCTTACTCCCCTCCTCCTCCATCCTGATCCTGTTGTTGGCCGTGAGGATAAGGGGTTGACGGGTTGCGGAGTGAGCGGCGTTCGTCATCTCCGCGATGGGGACTGTGTTTGTGGCTGTGTTGCGGAGCGTGGTGAGTGCCGCTGGGAATCACCGCGATTCATCTACGCTGCACAAAGACAAAGAGCCAAGATCCCCCGTACAGCCTGAACAGTCTGGAGGAGCAAGTGCTGTTAGCGAGCACCACGCCCGTCCACCTTTGTCTCCCCAGTTGGCGATATTTTGATACCAAAAGCAGGTACTTATTTGAGGTTGAGTCGACCTAGGGTAGGCTCAGGACCGATTCGGATAATCGTCACTGGTGTTCAGCAGTGAGCGGGATCGCATTCAGCGTACAGATTTGAAGCTTTCGTGACTGCAAGAATCCATACTGTTTAGTTATTTCGGTAAAGTTATTTCGGTAAAGTCACGTGACTTTACCGAAATAACCACAGAGTCAGCACACAGATACTCCATGTATCACAACCACGGGCTGTTGCGGAAAGTAAACACACGTGTGTATGTGTGTACACTTACACACACACACGTCTGGGTTGTTCTTCGTGCTTTTGGAGTCCCTGACCCTCTGCTCACGATCATTAAGGACCTCCGAGATGGTGAGCGGGCCTGGGTAAAACTACGTGGCCGGGAGTCAGAGCCATTCCCTGTACACCTTGGGGTGCGACAGGGATGTCCTCTGGCTCCCACATTATTTAACATCTATTTTGACCACGTAGTTTGTAAAGCCTTCAATAGCTGTACCGGGAGAATCAGCATTTGGTACAGATATAATGGGAGGCTGATCGATGCCCGGGTGCGGTCAAGGGATGGCTCCCTATTGCTCAACCAAGTGTGCCGATGATTTGGTAATAGCTGCTCATTCAGAGGAGGAGTTGGAGACGCTGCTGCTGAGACTGGAGCGTGCCACTAAGAGATGGGGCCTTACCATCAGCCCCACCAAAACTAAGCACCTGCCTGGGTATTTTGTAACATCGGACACTCCACCCCCACAACTCCCAATCGGTGATGGGGCAGTTGTGGAGAGAGTAGAGAGTTTCCCATACCTGGGCAGTGTGCTTATGACCAGCTCCAGTTTAACAGCAGAGATCTCACTCCGAATCAGTCGAGCGGCAATATATTTTCATCGGTTGCGTAACGCTGTGTAAAAGCTACCTGGTCTGTCGCTCCGCACTAAGCTTCAGGTCTTCTCGGCCACGGTCATTCCCTCCCTTCTCTACGCTTGCGAAATGTGGACCACCTTATTGGAGCATCTTCGCCGGTTGGAAACATTTAGGCTGGCCAGCCTACGATCCATCCTGGGTTTAACCAGGCTGGATTGTGTGAGGAGCTCACAAAGCCTTGAAAGATCTGGGCAAGGTCCCATCGGTGAGCTCCTCCGGCAGGGAAGGCTGGGTCATGTAGCCCGCATGCCCAGCCACCGCATGCCGAAACAGCTTTTGTTTGGACGGATCGAGGGGGCTAAACGGGCACGGCAAGGGCTAGAGAAGAGATGGAGTGATGTGGTACGTGGAGCTGAGTGGACTTGCCGATGACTGGTACCAGCGGTGTCAAGATCGGCCTCTGTGGAGGAGACTCGTGAAGGACGCTATTGGGCAGTTGGAGGCAGTCGCCCTCCAACAACAACGGAGGGCGGAGGAGCGACGCTCACAACAACGAGCGGAGCGCCGAGTGGCTAAAGCACAGCAGGTTGGCACAGTAGGGGGCACAGGTGGTGCACCAGCCAGTAATCTCAGTCAGTCGACCCGTGGCACCTGGGTCTGCCCCGTGACCTCCTGGCCGCGGGCGTTCGACACTTCACGTGGCCTCAAGGTGCACATGGCCTGGCACAAGCGTCGTGGTGACGTCAGCGCCAGTTAGTGGCGAATGGCGGTTGTTGTTGTTACACACGTGCGTGTGTGTGCACTTACACACGCGTGTGTGTGTGCACTTACATACGTGTGTGTGTGCACTTACACACGTGTGTGTGTGTAGCGGTTAGCGCGCTCTCTACGAACCCGGCGACCCGAGTTCGACAGCCATCACCAGTGGCGATTATCTCAACCGGTTCTGGGCCTCCTCCAGGTCGACTCAGCCTCAAATGAGTACTTGGTGCGGTGCGTAACAACATCGCCACTGGGGAGACAAAGGCGGCGGAGCTTGGTGCTTGCCACCCACCCCCTCGCGTGACGTTCCGTGCTTCGTAGGCGCTCACTAACACCACTTGCCCCATCAGACTGTTGAAGGTTATACGGGGGACCTTTGCCGTTGTGTGTTTAATGCATGTCACTTAATGAGGCACACGCTGTGTCTGCCAGGTTGTTGGAAAATGACGGAGCGGCTGTTAACAAGGAGAAACTCGACACACAGGTGGGTGAGAGAGGGAGAGAGTGTGAGTGAGAGAGTGTGAGTGAGAGAGACTTTTTGACTTTTTAAACAACTTTTATTGCCGCCAGCAGCAAAAGCACTGGAGGCGATTTCGATATGAAATACACAAAGTCACCAGCAAACAAATGAAAATAAACGTTACAAATCCACGCGCTGTGGCGCTAAAAAGCACCGCGCACAACACGAAAGAAAAGTCACGTGGTGGTGGTGGTGGTGGTCATCGCGCACGCCACGGTGACGAGCGAGCGCTTCAGAAGGTGAACACGTGGGGTGGTGCCGTCCACGCTGGTACAGAGAGGGGCTTGTCCGGCTCCCCAGCGTTCGAAGAAGACGCGCTGCACATCACCGACATGTGTGTGGTACGTGGCGTGCTCCAGCCGGAGCCGCGCCTTAAGCAGGCCCCTGAACACTGGAAGCAGCACAGAGCAGCCGTCAGTGTCACCTTGCAGCATCTTTTTTCTGGTTCTGTACACCGCCAACTTCGCCTGAGCACAGGCGAAGTTGGCGAGGTCATGGCGCTTGTTAGCCAGGTAAGGCACCACCCCCAAATACGAAGCTGCTGTTGTAGAAGGGTACCCCCAGTTTCCTGAAGATGTCCCCCAAAAGGCGGAACATTGGTTAAGAGAGAGAGATAGAGAGTGTGAGAGAGAGAGAGTAAGAGAGAGTGTGAGTGAGAGTGTAAGAGAGAGAGAGGGTGTGAGACTTTTGACTGTCAAACCACTTTTATTGCTGCCAGCAGCAAAACAAAATGCACTGGAGTCGATTTCGATACCACGTGACATCGAATGCAGCGTGATGTCACAAAGAGACCACTACACGCGCTACGCCGCGCGCAAGACGCGTCAGCTCGTTGACAAAGTGAAGTGCAGAATGCTGTGAGCGCCGGTGTAGAAGTCTTCTCCCACCCCCCTCGCCACCGTTCAGAGAGCCACGCGCACGTCGCTGGCATCGGAGTGGTTCGCGGTGTCCCAGCGAGAGTCGTGTCTTGAGCAGGCCCCTGAACATTGTGCCACAGTGGAGCACCATGTCCAGAGGCCATCGGTTTTGTTCTTTTGCTGTTCTTGTAAACTGCCGTCTTCGCTTGGGCACGGATGAAGTTTGCAAGATCGTGGCGCTTATTGGCCAGGTAAGGCACCCAATGAATGAAAACGCTCTTGTAAAGAGAGAGAGAGAGTGTGAGAGAGAGGGAAAGAGAGAGTGAGAGGTGGGGTGAGAGAGAGAGAAAAAGAGAGAGGATGAGAGAGAGAGAGAAAGAGAGAGTGAGAGATGGGGTGAGAGAGAGAGAGAGAGGGTGTCTCAGAGAGTGAGCGCGGAAATTGTAGCTTCGGGAAAGTGGCTTGCCTTTGGAGCACGCAGGCGGTGCAACTGCGACGTGGTCCACGGATGGGGTGGAGGGTTGGGGGGAGGGGTTGGGGGGATTGGTGGTGGGGGAGGTGTGGTGGGGAGGGGGTTACAAATTGCATTTAATTTCATTATTAGCAGCAACAAAGAGGTGAAGTGTGCGTGGCTCCGAATTCTCTGCTTCCTTGAAATTGGGTCAGATTAAGCGGTGGAGAGGCTGCACATTGTACAGAGAGAGATACAGACAGACACGGACACGGAGGAGCGCTTTGATTATCACGATTGATGGGAGGACACCTTGTCTACGCCGCTCTCGTTCTTACGGCGTGTGGCTTTCGACGCTTGACCGCGGTAAATGTGAAATCTGTCGTGGACATCACGGCCGCCGTACGAAAGTAGATGATGGCGAAGGTGAACTCCTGGCGCATGAAGCCAAGTAACTCAAAACGTCCCCGTGTATGTTTGTATGTCCAACTTCGCCTTTTGGCGTCCTCTGGTCTAACACTGTTTGAGACTAGGCTTTAAAGAAAGCTGTCTCTGGTGTGGACCAATCAGTTTTCAAAGACAATGCATCATCATATACTATCAGAGCATGTTTTTTTTTTCTTTGCATGTTCACCACAAGTATTTGTGGTTAATGCAGACATGATTACCTGCAAAAAGGTTTCAGTTTGGTGTTTTGACATCTTAACACGACTGTTTTATTGCCAGAAAGGGTTCAAACCTATTCTTAGCACTTGCCCCAACAGTCTGTTAGCGCTGTACGGGGGATCTTTGTCTTTGTTTTGCAACGGGCTCACGTTAGTCTTGCAGCCACAAGAGGCGCTGTTATTCACCGCGATGTTCATTCACTCTTAAAACGGAATCGCCATCAGGAGTGTCCCCGCCTGTTCATCGAATTCCAATGTCTCAGAAGGGCTAAAGACATCCAACGCCTATCGAAAAAATCAAACACATTTATCAAGTGCACTGCCTTAAAATATACTCCTAATAGGCGGCGTTTCGGACAATAACCCTTCTACATAGCACATGACACAAAAACGACGTCGCCTAGAGCATACCTGTGAAAGGCAGACCTAGCTTCGTGCGACCCTGTGGAACGCCGATTCGTTATAGCGCTCTTTGTCCCGGAGAATCTTTTTAGAAAGAAATTCAATCTAAATAAAACACCCCCCCCCCCCGCCCCCACGTGTTTATGGGGTTGTACCGAGTGTTGTTCGGCACAATGTCCGACGTTTCACACCACGTACCGGGTAGAGGCTTCAGAGATCGATACAGCACAACCGCCAGCACCTACGCAGGAATGTTCTAGAATCTAGAAAGACTCGACAGCTGAGTTATTGTTGTTGTTGTGGAGCAAAATTATTAAACAATTCTTGGTTCTTTCGGTAAAGTCACGTAGAAGGGAAACAATAAAATAATAAAAATATAAAACGTGACTTTACCGAAAGAACCAATAATATGAATCCCTGCAGTCACGAAAGCTTTAAATAAAAATGTATGCGCTCATTACTTAAACACGATCCTAAAAACCGACATCTTCAGATTTGATTTCAAATATAATAATGATGATGATTGTTTTAACTCAGGGACGGCGTTCGTTCCCAGCACAACTATCAATGAACCCAACACATTCGCCGATAAGGGTGCCTCGCTACAACCTCCCTAAGTGCTCCAAGCGTCGCCCTAAACGCTTCACAATCATGTACGGGCCGCACCTTTAACGATATCTACATCTGCCGATCTACATCCGCGCTTAGCGACTGGCTCTGTACACCCCCCCACCTCGCCCCCTTCCACCTCGCCCCCCCCCCCCCCACCTCGCCCCCCCCCCCCACCTCGGCCCCCTTCCACCTCGGCCCCCCCTCCCACCTCGGCCCCCCCCCCCCACCTAGCCCCCCCACCACCCCCACCTCGCCCCCCTACCCCCGCCCAGCAAAGGGTGCATCGCTTATCAGGGGCAATCAGGAGCGAGTAGAAATCCGTGGAAGCAGTCTCACGATCTCAACAGCAATCACACATTCTACGTTGACGTTGCTTGTGTAAGATGGACGATTCGCATGTTTAGGCTACGATATAATTAGGTGCACAGGATGCTACCACTCGTCGTTTACAATGTGTAATAGAACGAACAACGTAAAACTCACCTGGCTTCGCACAGATGGATTTATGAATCCATTACTATTGCCATTGTCCCAGGTAAACGATGAGACTAAAGCGGAGAACATCGGCATGAAACATTCATTCCTTCTTTAAAAAAAAAATATTTTGTATTTTTCTAGATTTGAAGTTTTCGTGACTGCAAGGGTCCATACTCCTTGGTTCTTTTGGCAAAGTCACGTAGGTAAAAAAGAAAATCGTTGTTTTCATTTTTGTTTTATTTTGTTTAAATTTGTCTTTATTTTTTTTCCCTACGTGACTTTACCGAAAGAACCAAAGAGTATTTTGTATTTTAGCAGGTGAGACCCCACTGAGCTGAAAAGCTCTTTTGTTCAGAAGCGACCTGGCCACAAATGACGTGGCTCGTCATCACGTGGACATTTCTAGCAACCAAATACTCGAGACGCGTGATGTCGAGTCTAAGTGTGGTTGGGAATACCCGAGGAGCCGGAGAAAACCCCACGCGAGCACGTGGAGAGAGAGAAAGAGAGACACGCACACTCCAAATACACAGCAGGCGTCGGGGTCGGAATCGAACTCACGACCACCCGTATACCGGGCAAGGGCGGTAACATCTCGCCACCGTCTTAATCTGACATCCACTGACATTTCCTTTCGCAACAACAAAACAGACTTCCGCAGATTGTTTTCTTTATTTTACCATTCCTGCGTAGAGAGGAAAGCGGCTGTGGCGAGGGAGTGAGAGATGGATAGGGGAGGAGGGGGAGGAGTCTGCGAGTGGGGGTCTGCATTGATGGCGGTGAGTGGGTGAGCAGACCGGTGAGTAGCATGGGCAGGGTGAGCGTGGGCAGGCATGGCTGGCGGTGTGCGTGGGATCGGGTAAATCGTGGGAACACGCCCCTCGCGGCGCCTGTGACACTCCCCAGGTGTGCGTGGGTTGAGCGTCGTGTCGCAGGTTCCCATGGAGACGGAGCAGATTACAGCGCTAATCTCGGATTCCCGATGAGCGGCCACCCCCACAGGGATGAGCGGGGAGTGGTGGGGGGGGGGGGCATGCGACGATAGGAGGGGGGAGAGCGAGGGAGTGTTAAGGGGAGCATTCATTCATCGGAAGACGACAGAGACCGGGGTGATAATCCGAGGAGGAGGAGGAGGAGAGACGTGGGACGGGAAGACGGCGAGAGAAGCGAGGCATCGGCTCCTCGCCGCGCCGCTTCACGATGTCCCACGAGAAGGTTCGTGTACTCGTGTCGGGAGTGCGTGCAGCTCTTGCTCTCTCCTACCCCTCTCTCTCGATCCTCGGTCTCCATCTCTCTCTCTCTCTCTTCATTCCGTAAACATAGCAGAGTTTGCGCGTGAGAGCGAGACGCCACCTCTGCTGCTCCTCCACCACCTTCACCCATCATTATCACCATCACTAAATCCACCACCACCTCACCCATCATCATCATCATCACTAAAACCACCACCACCACCTCACCCATCATCGTTACCAAAACCACTACCACGAACCACATTCG